GTTTTTGGCCGGGGCTGGGTTTGAACCAGCCACCTCCAGCATATGGGGCTGGTGCCCTACCCGCTTGAGCCACAGGCACAGCCCTGGAGGGACTGTCTGGCTGACCTCTCTTACTTGGTAAGGGACACAACAGGTTCCTCTGTGCAGAAGAGCTCTTTCTGCTCTATCACGTTCCATGCACAAGTGCGGATGACATGGCTGTATCTAGCCAGAAACTAGAACCTTGTGTTGATGAGAGGTTTTAAGGTCAATGAAAATTATCTGGGGGCCATTAGAAAGTCTTCTTATTCTTCTATTGAGTTGGCTTTAATTTTGAGAATTAGTTAACCGAGAAATTTCTGACCTCTCTGAGGAAGTGATATAGTCTCAGGAACTGAGCCTCACAAAAAGAGATGCAGTGCTTACCCACTAGTGTTCTCCCAGGGCTACTGGCCCCCAACTCGGCTCTGGAAGCCTTGGCTCTTGAGGACCTGGGCTAACTTACCAGGTAATAGTCTCTGCCAAACAGTCTGCCATTTTTACAATGGAAACTGTTAATTGGTAAGGGCAAACATAATTTGTCCTGCCTGGGGTGAAACAACTCTATTCCTGCAGACCAAGAAGCTGGGGACAGAGTGCACGGAAATCATCTGTTAGACAAGGAGACACTCTTGCCACAATGCACAATTCTCAGCCTCTCCCTCCCCTCCTGTAAGGTAAGCCTGTTAAACAACTTGGGATGTCCGAGAACCCTGCAGTTTTTCCATTGCTTTAGAGAGAGGTTAAATGCCCCAGAATAATGATGCTATTTTAGTCATACTGGGAAAACTACGGGAGACCATGTAATGAGTAATAATAAAAACCATACTTTTCATATGCATATTTTCTCACCAATTATTCATTTATTCTTCTGTTATCATGAGGAGTAGGAGTGAGGTCAGATGACCTTCCCAAGGAACCATGGCATGCTATGGCCAAAACTAAGATAGAAATTTAAGTCTCTAGCCTCTGTTATATGTGTAGGTTATAAATTATGGTTTTCTCTTATTTGTAATAAGAATCTCAAAGTAGGGTTTTACAAGTTGTTTGGCATCATGACTCCTCTTTGGGGTCACACAGACAGAGGGATGGCTTTACTTATTTATTCTTTTGAGATAGAGTCTCACTATATCACCCTGGGTAGAGTGCTGTGGCATCACAGCACATAGCAACCTCAAACTCTTGGGCTTAAGTGATTCTCTTGCCTCAGCCTTCCAAGTAGCTGGGACTATAGGTGCCCACCACAACGCTCGGCTATTTTTTGGTTGTAGTTGTCATCATTGCTTGGCAGGCCCAGGCTGGATTCGAACCTGCCAGCTCTGGTGCTGGCGCCCTAGCTTCTGAGCTACAGGCACTGAACCAAGAGGGATGGCTTTAGTTACTTAAACTTTACCCATCATCCTCCTTGAAGAATGGTGATGGGTGTTCCTAGAGTGGGTAGGAACCTTAGGGTCTGCTACTTATGGAGTAGCACTTTGGTATTAACTCTTTTAAGAGAGGATTAACTTTGCTATAGTTAGCAATTATCAAATGTTTTTCCATCACAACCCAATGAAGAATTAGTCACATTTCCATATTAACAGGGAGTCGCTACTAGTTTTCAGGCTATTGTAACATATGGCATTATTAAAATAGGAGGAGGTATATATAGTTTGGAAAAAGCCCCCTCAGGAGATAATGATCTGGTACCACTGCTGAGAATCACTGGTTTAAATAATCAACAATGATCGATTTCTGCTGGGTGGTGTATCAAAGCCCCTAGATCAGAAAAGGTGAGCTATATATGGGTTGATCCATCCTAAACTTTGAATGTCAATAGAAAGATTTCATTATTGAGGTAAGAATAAACAGGAAGAGAATGCATCGAATACCTCTACAAATGTTGGAACTGCTGAACTCTACAAAGTTTATACGCTCTTTAAGGGTAAGCTAAAGGGGGTGAACCCCGCTTTCAGGGAGAATCTCTGATTCTATGTTTAGGTAAGTGAATGGGCTTGGCAAGGCTCCCTCTCTTGTAGAAGCTAATGCCTAAGCAATTATTTTAACTCTGCCAAACATAGCTGGTAGCTGCTCAAGAAAAACCCCACATGCAGAGATTTTTCCAGCTGGCAACCCAGGCAGCATAGCTCTCCCTCCCTCTGCTCATCCCCAGGCTACCCGCCTGCTGCTGCTGCACCACCAACTGACCGTGCACAGTGCTGCAGACGGGCCACATAGGAGGCTATCAGCGCATGCTCATCGGCCAAGTGACTGGGTATATCCTGGCTATACTGTAACCTAGGAACAATGGAGGCAAAGACAGCACGGGTGACACAAACACACACAGAGGGAGAAATGAACATGGATTAAAATGAGCAAACTTCAAAGAAAAATTTAAAAAATAATAAATCATGATAAAGAAAACAATAAAGAAACCACAATGCATAATGGAATATGTTAGACCATCAGGTATCCATCTTGCAAATCCTGTGAACAAAAGTGGTCCTATAGGAGTGGCTCTGGCCAACTGACATCACAGTCCTGGAGAAGGACGTCCTGGGGAGTCACAGGAGCCTCACTTACCACTTCTGTCCGGCTCTGGGCTCTGTGACGGATGTACTTTGAAGAGAATGCTCTCTGGCCCGACAGCTGAGACACAGTGAAGCCCCTAAGGCTATGATTTTATAGTTTTTGTCTATATTTAAGAATTTTCAGTGTTACTATGTTACCAGTTAAATATTTTTATTTCTAAAAGGATACTGCCTTTAATACCAGGCTATTTTCTTCCATAAAATTGGTATAGACACTTAGAATTACACCTAATTGTAAGACAACACTATTCACTCTGTGTGAGGCTCTGTCTTACAGAGATATGGAAGGTCCTTAAGTATGTGGGTTTTTTTTTAACTTTTTACTATAGAAATGTTAAAATTTGCACAAAAGAGAGTGTGATTCTAATGACTACCCCTTACCTACCCATCATGAAACTTGAATGAATAACAACATTTTGTCAGTTTTATTTAATTTATTTTGCCTTAACTTCCTGTGCAGAGGGAATCCCAGGCAATAATTTCACCTGGGAATACTGGAGTCTGAACATGTCTTAGATAGTGAAAACATTTCACGTAACCTCAATGCCATTATCACACTTAAAAAAAATGACAAAAATGTTTTAATA